TTTCTGATATATCTGAACAGTTCAAAAGTGTGCTGGTGTAGTAACGATCATTCCGTTCAAACTTTGAACAGACATCAAAATGTTCTGTCTTTTGTATCCACATTGTATCCATACAGTTACGTTTTAAAGAAACGTCAACAGCTATAATCGTTTTAAGAGTATGAAGCTCAAGGAAATAATTCCAACTTTCCTTTCGTAGCGACTTTATACTTTGGGGCTACAATGGGGGTACCCAAAAGTCAGTTAACTACTATATTTTGAAAAGTCAGTTAACTACTACTGTTAGATAGGCATTAACTTTTGGTCTCTTGTATCGAATGTCATTTGCATCATAAATTGCATTTATAATGCTAACATCACCAATAAACTGATTTGTGCAATCATTTTGTGTATATGATTTGTAATAGGTTACTTGTAGCAGTTCTGTATCCATATTTACGTAAGAATACAATGACAAATATCTGATAAGTTTTCATTGATATGACTATGATAGAAACCAGCCAATCCTGGGGGTCCTCCCCCAGGAAATTTTGAAATAATAACTATTGGAAATGCGATTTTCAGCGTTTTGAGGGGCATCCAGAGCATATAAAATGCATCAAATTCCGAAAATTTTAATATTTCCTTCTCACTAGTACGCACGTGCATATATGCGTAAAGGATTCTACGCGCCTGAATTAAATGTTAGTTTTAAAAACTCATACATAATTAACGAGCTATTAGACCAATAGAATAAGCCTATTTGGTCACATGCATGGACGTTAATATCTGATAAAACACTCCTTATTAGTATTGTTTATATAAAGAATACTAATAAGGGTGACCTTTATCAGATATAAAGGTCCATGACCCTAGCAAAGGTCTCGGGTTTGAAACCTGATCATTGACCAATGCAGGATGTCAACCGATTTCAGTGAACAGCCAAGAGCCCTTCTATTTTACTTTATGCGTATTCAATGTGGGATGACAAGAGTGCTTTGTAAAGTGATTCGCGCATGATCAGTYTGCCACATTTATCTCTGAACATATTTGTACGGCAATTTCTCCAAGAATTTTAACGGATTTGAGATTCAAATTAGTGTTGGAGTTTTTGAAGACTTCGAAAACACGATCTCGAGTGTTTTAAACTATAAAAGAAAGTCAGTTAAATATACGATTTTCATTAGTCAGGTACGGTAACTACTAATTTTTGGCCAAAAAGTCAGTTAACTAATTTTATCTTCTCGTGTTGAAATCTCTCACTCGTTCGCCACACTCACTCGTATCTTCGCACGCCCATGTAATATCCTGTATATCTTCCAAGGATGTGAAAATATACAAAAAAAAACCTGAAAAAAATCATTACAATCTTCGTACTTTACATAAAGTATAGACATTCTAATTTTTCTTCAGTCGCCTATTTAATAGCTAGTGACCTATCGCTATCAGGAACTTTAGAAGACAATTTGATTTCACTATCGGCCGCTTTGTTTGATGTGTTTTTATATTACATTTTGGCTTCCCGCGGGAATCTTGCAATCAAGTAATACCGGAAGTGAATGCTCATTGGTCGAGAAAAATCTAAAAATAGACACGTAAAAGAAAACGTTGTGACCAAGCAGAACACATGATATCGATATCTAAGATCGATAGCTACTTTTCCTAACGTGTGCTTTCAAAGTAACCCATGTCTTAAATTACAGCTTGAAAGTCCGTGTTATGCTTCACGTAGCAAATATTGATAACGGACAGCCTGTATTCCCTCGACTCGTTACTTGGTTAGGCTGCCTGTGTAAAGCGTGAATCGTATTTTGACAATATTGGACCATGAAAGAGAAAAGTACAAAAATTAAAACAATATAAAAATGTCTATCGTCTATTGATTTATAGTTACACATGAAGCCCATATATATAATATTTGGTCGTTTAAAAACAACAGCAAAAAAACTAAACTGAACTAAAAACTAAACTAGACTAAAAGATCTTTGTTGGTTGTATTTTTCATATTTATAAGTAGTTTGGTAAATCAACCATGAATAATTTTAAAAATATATTCCAAAACTAAACTTAACAAAACAAATTAAAACCAATAAAATAAAATAAAGATAAAAAACAAAAACGAGAAGAAACAAAATGAAACGAAATAAGGATATAACAATTTCAAAAAATATTAAAATCGAAAAAGTCTGGATAATCGAAAATTTTATGCAAGGAAAATAAATTGTATTTGCTTTCAACTGGCCGGCTAAAGATCCATACGGGAATGGAGGGCTGCGCTTGATCGTTATTGCTTATGGTCTGATATTTTCAAATTGAAGTTGTTGCATATATCTATCCAACTTAGAATAATTAAAAGCAAGCAGCCTGCTGCAATTTTGAAATAAGGACAAAAAAATGTGTTCATTGTTTTTAAGAAATGATCGCTTATTTCTTCCTCTTGTGCGCAAAAACAAATCATTAAAACCTCGTTTGAGAGCTGAGAGTAAATATTGTCCAATGATTGACGTATTTTCAAGGCCTTTCTCATTTGTAAAGATAACAACCAATGTAAACAAACTAGCAGATGGTTGACAATGGTCATTTGAAGGTGAACGATTCAKCTGTACACAACGATACTTTTTATTGCTCTTTGTTGATTTTGTTGATGATTTCATGTGTTGTATTTACTGTTTCTTATAAAAGCAATCTACTTAACCCTGATCGCTTCACTAAATTGCTTTCGGAATAAACGYTAAAAAGTTTGGAGATAAATATCCAAGTGTACAAAGGTGGTTTTGTAAATCTCGGAATGATTAACTATCAGGAATGGAAAAACATAGCGGTTGAAAACAGAGGCGAATTAACCAGAGTCTAAAATTTTTGAAAAGGACTTAATTTACCAAACAAATGAGAGAATCAAGGAGAATAACAATTAAAAAGGATCATCAGTTGGTTACATCATTTTGTTTTATTAATCTTTTTTCAATTATTTTTTTGAGCCAGCGAAACCTCAACTTCAACAATTGGCCATTTCACGGATAACTCAGTCATTCCCAATCTAGTAGCTAGTAAAAAATCATCACACTGAAAAGAACATCATAAAATTAGCAAAAATTTACAAAGTTTGAGAAAAAACCTTTAAAAAGTCAACAACATACAGCACTTCAAAAACACCAATATTTGCAAACATTATTGGTCAGGTTAAAACCACTCAACGACCATACATTTCTTTATGAAATGTTGTGATTTTGAGAAGTTCTTTCTTCTCGAATTTTCAACGTATTATTCTCAAACTTTGTACATTTACTATTTTTAGGCTGTTCTCTTCAATGTGGTAATGATTTTTCACTAATTGCTCAATTTCGAATGGTGCGGAATAACTTCCTATTCTAAATATGACGTTTTTGACAAAACGTTATAGTGTCCCTGAATATGAACGCAGTAATAGGCTTCCTCTATCAATCAAGTCTTGACGTCAAGCGTTCTGTGTACTGACGTCACTTTGYAAGCTATTAGCGACGTGTGAAGTTTCATTAAGAACGTACAATTTGCAAATAAAAAAGAAAAATACCCTTTTTTTAAATAAAAGGTTAGTTTTAATGCTAATGGCCCAAGCCTATTATCTAAATGATTGGTTAGAAATAAGGGTGCGTATTGAGTGTTCTAGAGGTAATTGGGGRATTAACTATTTTTTCGATTCTTAACATAGTATAGAAGCACGAAGTGTTATTAAGCAACGACATCACAGTTAACTACCAGCCTCATCCAACGCATGCTATGCTTTCCGCGTTACAGAGTGTAGCCTAATCCCTTAAGTAAGTATTATATCACTTTGTCTTTTCCTGTACCTTGTAGGCTATAGAATATTGCTATTTTTTATTTATGTAGAGTATATAAAGCCGTTTATCACGCAAGTCATAATCAAAATAACATTTTCTATTCCCAATCGTTTCAATCACGGCGTGGTTTAGTAGTAACAACTCCAAACACCACGTTATCACATCCACAATCGATYCTTCTGATTGGCTATAAAACTGTGATCTATTCGCGATAGATAAATTATTATCAACAACTAGCTTTTGGCCTTTTCTGTACCGATTTGTTGACAAATCTAGGACTATCTAAAATAGAGGATATTACATTGGCGCGCGGATTTTTATCTTCGAGTCGTGAGAGATTTTCAACACGAGAAGATAAAATTCGTACCTCCAAGCGACCATGTATTCATATAATATGAATATTCATATTATAATATGTATTCATATAATTACATATGAAAGCAAATTGTGTCGTAAAATCCTTTTTTTCTTACTTCCACTATATAGAGAAACCTCGAATTTGCATTTTCACTAGTGAATATAACAGGTTATTTAAAGCTTTATGAAATGAAGAAATATAGGTATTTCAGAAATCATAAAAAAGAAATAAATTGTTTTCCAGAAATTTTAAATCAATTTCAGGTTTTAAAGGAGAACTATATGATGAAAATATATGAAAAATTTGAATGGCTTATTTACTAGGACCGCAAAGCAACAACTTTCTTTCATTTCTATACCGTGTCTTTCATAGTGCCATGCTGTACTCATATTCATATCTTTACATTATTCTATTACCGCAACCTAACATCTAATTCACCCCGACCTGCTCCCAGTCTGGCCTTGTAGCTCAGCTGGTAGAGCATCGGTAGTAAAAATCCGAAGGTCGTGGGTTCGAATCCCAGCGAGATTGGAAATTAATTTTTCCGAAATCATTCCTAAAGTCTTTCTCCCGGAATTGCCTCCTTCTAAGCACTCATTTCCATAAAGCAACACACTTTTTCATATTAATTTATTGAAGACTGACAGATCCATATGGTGGGAACTAGTGGTAAACTACTGTGAGCTACGTCGGTGTTTCTAGAGAAACAGTTGTGCAAAAAGATAAATTTTAACACCGTAAAAAAATAGGTGAAACAACTTAATGACGTTTTTCAGACGTTAATCTTCGTCGGAGTAAAAGCGAAGGATTAACGTCCAAACCGCCAGTAAGTTGTTTCAAGTACTTTTTTACGGTGTTTTAACGTTTAAAACATTTTTTTTGCACATATGAAATTATAAGCATTGACATTGTAAGTGACGTCACTCAAGCGACCCAATTGTTCTCATCGTTTTAAATAAATATTTCTTGGTGACAGTAAGCTCAAAATAGAGAATTTTCCTCGATGAAATTACTAATTCATATTAACTTTATCATATTAAGTTAAGTTAACTTAGATTTTAGAAGTTAATTTCCAGTTTTACCGATTTTCGTAATTGTACCCCATTAGTTTTGATATATTTTAATCAAACCAGAAGAGCCTTAAAATCAATGCCAGCTTCATTCAATATTATTCAAGCAAATCTTATCTGTACATAGAAGAGGAAGTCTTATCGCYTGTAATTGTGTGTTCTCAAGTAGCTGTCTTCGTGGACTGACTGTGTTTGTTTGGTTAATTGATGTTTGTGATTTCATAGAAAAAGCGACCGACTTCTGAATCACAAGTAATTTGTCGTCTAAAACGCGTCAAGATGGCCTCGATGTGGCTGATAAAGTCTCTTG